GAAGAAGTGGTAGAAGGTAGTCGTCGTTTTCGTCGTCGAATAGTAGATGTCAGAGTGTTGGTAATATCAGTACCCCGAGAGGCCCCCAAGGGATCCCAACCACATCCAACAGGCTTTATTTATGCTCTCAACCCAAGCACGCTGGCGGGATGGGCCGAAGGCCATTACATCCGCCGCCCCCTGTTGGCTTGCCACAGGGGTGCCTGGCGTGGTAGATCCTTTCGGTTGGTGTTGGTTCTTTTCCAAAGAAACTCCCCCTGGGGCTTCGGCCCGTCCCGCCGGGGTCCCGGAAGGGAGCTCAATCCCCAGTGTTTCCTCCAAGACGGCTCAAGATGGCCTCCAAGATGGCCACGTTGGCCCAAGATGGCCTCCAAGATGGTCCAAGATGGCCTCCAAGTCCGCCCAAGATGGTTCAACACGGCCTCCAAGTCGGCCCAAGAGAGTCCAAGATACCTCCAAGTTCGCTCAGGAAGCCTCCAAGACGGCCCAACACGACCCAAGAGGCCTCCAAGGTCCTCCAGGAGGACCCGAAGATGCCAAAATGATTAACTGTCCATCGGCTTTTGAATGATTTTGGCATTTGTTTCTTCTCGACATTTCGACGGCTCAAGACTCCCCAAGAGGCCCCCAAGATCGCCCCAAGATCGCCCACGAGGCCTCCAAGATGGCCCCATGACGGCCCAAGAGGCCCCAGAGATGCCCCCAAGAGGGCCCAAAGACGGCCCAAGAGGCCTCCAAGACGCCCAACATGGCCTCCAAGACGGCTAAGATGGCCCCAAGATGCCTCCAAGACGGCCCAAGATGCACCCAAGACGACCTGAGATGGCCTCCAGATGGCCTAAGACGGACCAAGAGGCCCCCAAGAGGCCTCCTAGACGGCCCAAGAGGCCTCCAAGAGGTCCTCTAGCAGGGCCCGAAGAGGCTAAAATCTTTGTTTCCGTAAGTTTTGGAAGGATGTTGGCATGTGCTTCTTTCCCGCATTCCGATGGCTCAAGACGGCCCAGGAGGCCCCCAAGATCGCTGACGAGGCCTCCAAGATGGCCCCATGACGGCCCAAGAGGCCCCCCAGACGGCCCCAAGAGGGCCCAAGAGGCCTCCAAGACGGCCAGAATGGCCTCCAAGACGGCTAAGATGGCCCAAAGATGCCTCCTGGACGGCCCAAGATGCACCTAAGACGGTCTAAGATGGCCCCAAGATGGCCCAAGACGGCCCAAGAGGCCCCCAAGAGGCCTCCTAGACGGCCCAAAAGGCGCCCAGGAGGTCTTCCAGGACGGCACGAAGAAACCAAATTCATTGACGGGTTTTGATAGATGTTGGCATTTGCTTCTTCTCGGCATTCCGACGGCTCAAGACGGCGCAAGAGGCCCCCAAGATCGCCCAAGAGGCCTCCAAAATGGCCCCATGACGGCCCGAAAGGCCCCCAAGACGGCCCCAAGAGGGCCCCAAAACGACCCAAGAGGCCTCCAAGACGCCCAAGATGGCCTTTACGAACCCCTGATATGCCCCAAGAGGGCCCCAAGACGACCCTGACAGGCCCCCAAGACGGCTTCCGACGGCGTCAGGCAAGCCAGGAACGCCCTAAGACTGCCAAAGAGGCCCCCAAGAAGCCCCCAAATGCCACCAAAAACCCTCCAAGAGGCCCCCAGAAAGCTCCCAGGAGGCCCCACGAGTGCCCCAAGAGGCGCCCAAGAGGCCTCCTCCTCCTCCTCCTCCTCCTCCTCCTCCTCCTCCTCCTCCTCCTCCTCCTCCTCCTCCTCCTCCTCCTCCTCCTCCCATCCTCCTCTTTGTTCCTCATCATTCCCCCTCCTCCTCTGCTTGCTCCCCCACGCGTTCCCCGAGGTCTTTCCAGACCGACTCGGGAAACAACTGGCCCGATAGCTTGGCCAAGCTCTGGCCCAGCTGTCGGCCACAGAGGCGTTTCCAAAGGGGCAGGGGGCGGCCGTGATTCGCCGTGAGCGTCTTCGACCATCCATCCTATCCACAAGCGCCTTGTCATCCTCCCACGCCTCCTCCTCCTCCTCCGCCTCCTCCTCCTCCTACCACCAATTTTGATTCCCTCCTCGTCCACTCCCCTCTGGCAATCAACTTGTAGCTTCGGCCACCGAATGTCACCCCTGTGTCTCATACACTTCAGCTTTGTGCAACATGTGTGGCGCAAACTGCGTGATCCGATCTGTGTGGTGGAATATGTGTCGTGCCATGCCTTGCTTACTTTGCCGCGTTGCAGTCTTGCTACATATCTTCCCCAAGCGCGATGACGGATATGCGCGGCAGCACAACTGGATACGAAGTTGTCTGGACGGAAAAGCTGGCCAAAAGGTCCAGCACGGACGCTGTCCATGGTGCCTGGTTCCAAATCCATCAGCAAGGCGCGCGGAACATAGCGGCCCCCTGTGGCCTCATTGTAGTAGACGTTGATGCGCTCGAGCTGGAGGTCGGAATCTCCATGATAAGTGCCTGTAGGATCTATACCATGTTCATCAGAGATTACTTCCCAGAACTTTGCCTGCGGGTCCCAAGAGTATACACCACCACGTCGGTTCCTCCCCCCTCATCTACCCTCCTCTTGCTCTCCTGTTTCTTGGTAGAGGGAGGGGATGAGGGAACTGGTGGTGGTGTATACTTTTTGGCCCCATTGCCCCGATCTGGTTGCCGCACTGGCCACCCTGGATGTGCACCAACTCGCGCATGGCTGCTTATCGGAAGAAGCTGATTTCCGATTTTTCTGATGACTTCAGGCGTCGAACACTCGCTCTGGCCAAAACGGAGACAGACACATGATTGGCAGTAACACGGATAATGCTACTGGATTCAAAAACACAATGCCAGCGCATACAACAAAACATTGAACATGCGCAACCCACAGAACACAAAACGGGTTGCCGTCGACACAACGCATTCGGCTGAGGGCGACAGCTCCAACGATCGAACGAACATCCCGCCCACACACCAACAACGTCTTGGTAAAACTCCAGAGAACGTGGGCGATGCTACTCATCATGGCTGGCTCGAAAATCTCAACAAGCGCAATAACATCCAGACCCTGCTCATGAAGATCCGTGACACGGGCGGGCGACGGCCCATGGTGGCGACGACACCGGAGACGAAGACGATGTTGATGATGGCGATGGTGGTAGCGAAGAAGACGAAGGCGACAATAACGACACTGAAGATGACGATGATGGGGATTTCGTTTTGATGATGACGGCGATGACCACTGACGTGATCCAGCTCTCGACGATGACGATAACGACTGGGACGATGCAGATGGTGAGAGCGTGCGGGCGGACGGAAATTATGAATGCTTAACAAGTTTGCAAATGAAACCCGCCGAATGTTTAGATTCCCTTGCAGAACTTACTCCATCTCGAACCCCTACCAAAGAAATTGGTGTTGGAGGGAGCTCGACGTGCGCGCGCGGAGACGCGCGCGCGTGGCCCGCGTGGGATTTAACACGGTTGGCGAGTGCGCGGGGGCATGTCAACGCGTTCAATAAGCGCTCGTGCGTGGCCAACATAATCCAATTCGCCCGAATGGAGGAATAGTTCCCTTCACATGTCAACGAGCGCGCGCAGAAATATGTCAGAGTTCTATCGTGTCCATAGCGAAAGGCGTGTTTTAGTGTTCGATGAACTTGTTTTTATGTTCTACTGGGCGCTTGCAAGGATTCGGCACACGGGCGCGGTGGCGCGCGCACGTGGCCATCATGGCATGCGTTGCGAAGGGGCCCTTCGAGAAACGACTTATCATATTAACACATGCGCACCACCTGGTTCTTCGACAAAGATGAAAACGGGGCGTCGGTAGTGGGGATGGCTGGCACAAGAGAGGCGTCTTCCAACATTGCCTGCGCAACTGAAAGCACGTCGCACACCAACAATTCATCCGCCAACGTGCCTTCCGCACGCAGTGGAGTACCTCAAGGCTCACGCAATTCTGAGAGGTCATGCAGTCCTGAAAGCTCGCAAGGTTCTGGATGGCCCAGACCACGAAACTCCTGGGCGCTCTTGGGCACGGCAGGGCGCTCCGAGTGTTCCGCGCAGGCATTCGGACGGCGCCCCCACCCAGGGAGGCCCCAAAACAAACCAAGACAGCCCTGCGAAGGCCCCGGAAGGATCCAAGAGGCCTCCGAACGAACGAACGAACGAAGCTGCCGTCGCCGGGAAGCCGGCGCCCCTGCAAAGGTGGGCAGGCGCGCTGGTCGCGCGCATGCCTTTTAACGAGGCCACTGGGCGTGCGACTGCGCCAAAATCAAATGAAACACGAAACGTTTGCACGAGAAGTCGCGCGGTCATCGCCACGCGCGCTGCAAAAATCCCGCTCGCTCCCCTGCCAAACAATCTCACTCGAAGCCTCGTGCGCCCGCGAGCTCCAGCCGGAATGTTTTGCACGCGACACCAACTCGTCTTCACATCTGCTGAACCAGCCGGGCCGGGAGCGAATTGGGCATCCGAGCGCCCCCCCTCGACTGACCGCCCCACCGGACATGGCCCTTCCGTTGAGTCGCTCGCGCGGCCCACCGTGCACCTGGCACGTTGATGATATCCCCTGCCAGATTCCAATTTGATGTTTGATACTTGCCCACCGAACATGCAATTCCAACGAAGCAGCTGACCGAAAAAACACTCTTGCCCGAATAACTGCACCTTCTTGTTTGAGGGGGCACGTATCCCAGAGCGCTGCGCGCTGCATTTGTCCGCGTTCACGCGCAAATCGATTCGCGCGAGCTCGTCGGGTATAGAAGCTAACTTGTTTACCAAAACTTGCTCTGATCTGGCCACAATCGCGGTATCATCAGCAAACACTTCATAAGCCACCCGGATCTAAAGTCGCCGCCGATGATGCTCCCGCACCCATTCTTCTCTCACAATTCTTTCACATGCACCATCGCGTTCCTGACTGCATTCGCGAATAATGCCGGCGACATCGGATCCCCTCGCCGAGCGCCACGAAGACAGTCAAAGTATGTGCTTCGGGTGTTGGGGCCAAGCTGGGAGTGCGCCCGCTGGTCCTTGTACAAATCCAGAACGGCCCAAGACTCGTTATAGCTGATTCTGGCTGTCTTCAGACCCGCAAGCACAACAGCGTGCATGATCTCGTCAAATGCTTTTCCCAAATCCATTGAAGCCACCCAAACCGCCCCCCTTTCCATGCTGTTCTCGTTGATCGTTCGCACGCAAAGGACTAAATCGCAACACCCATAACCCGATCGAGATTAAATTTCTTCTGGCGTTCAAAATCTGTCCAAGATACGATCCATTCGCATCAAAATTGCGCCGCTGTACAACTTGTTCAAAACTGGGACGATCGTGATGGGCCTGTGGCTATTTGGGAGGGTCGTCTCGCCTTTTTTTGATAAAACGACAATCTCGGAGGTGCGCCACGAGTCCGGGGCCCGCGACACGCCGTTGAGCAAGTCGGCAAAAACCTCTGCGATGTCATTCATGCTATCGTTCCCGCCCCCCTGACAAAAGCATAGCACAGCATAGCATAGCATAGCATAGCATAGCATAGCATTGCATAGCATAGCATAGCGCAGCATAGCATAGCATAGCCTAGCCTAGCCCCGCATAGCATTGCGCAGCATATCATAGCATAGCATAGTATCGCATAGCATAGCAGAGCAGAGCATAGCATAGCATAGCCTAGCGCAGTACAGCATCCACTAATGATGATATATATATATATATATATATATATGATGTGCGTGCGCACGTGTGTTCCATGCATGTTGTCCGTCTGCGGGCCATATTGAGCCCTTAGCGGGGCAGCTTGAGCCCTTAGGATTCACCAAGGTTTCGCGCATAGCACCGGCCGGGAGACACGAAACCCGACGTATTATCGCATGTCCGAAATGTTTTTCTATTTATGCAAATACAAATGTATCTGTATATATACATGTAGCATTTGCTCCTAGAAGCTCCAACTCCTAGGTCGGGTCGCACTGGGATAATTTGAATCAAACGACAATCTCGGAGGTGCGCCACGAGTCCGGGGCCTGGGGCACGCCGTTGAGCAAGTCGGCAAAAACCTCTGCGATGTCATTCATGCGATCGTTCCCGCCCCCCTGACAAAAGCATAGCACAGCATAGCATAGCATAGCATAGCATAGCATTGCATTGCATAGCATAGCGCAGCATAGCATAGCATAGCCTAGCCTAGCCCCGCATAGCATTGCGCAGCATTTCATAGCATAGCATAGCATAGCATCGCATAGCATAGCAGAGCAGAGCATAGCATAGCCTAGCGCAGTACAGCATCCACTAATGATGATATATATATATATATATATATATGATGTGCGTGCGCACGTGTGTTCCATGCACGTTGTCCGTCTGCGGGCCATATTGAGCCCTTAGCGGGGCAGCTTGAGCCCTTAGGATTCACCAAGGTTTCGCGCATAGCACCGGCCGGGAGACACGAAACCCGACGTATTATCGCATGTCCGAAATGTCTTTCTATCTATGCAAATACAAATGTATCTGTATATATACATGTAGCACTTGCTCCTAGAGGCTCCAACTCCTAGGTCGGGTCGCACTGGGATAATTTGAATCAAACGACAATCTCGGAGGTGCGCCACGAGTCCGGGGCCTGGGGCACGCCGTTGAGCAAGACGGCAAAAAAACCTGCGCTATGGGATTCATGATATCGTTCCCGCCCCCCTTCAATATCTCGGCCACGAAGCAGTCTTCAGCGCTATCATTGTTCCGCTTCATTCGAGAAATGATCCATGCGACGTCCGCCTTTACTTCTGCAGCGAGGATCCTACTGCTTGGTCTGGTGGCCCCGGAGCCTTGCAGCGGAGCGTCATACAAAGACTTGCAAAATGTTGCGAAAACTTCAGCTATGTCTCCCCTTCCGGATTGTAGCTTTCCATCTGAATATCGGATGTTGGTTCTGCGGTTTCTTTGTTCGGCCGATTTGGGAGCCCAGGTAGTTTCTTTGCTGACCCTTTGAGGGTGAACTCGTCAAGCTGATCGTTCTGCCTCTTCCGCATTTGGTCGCGGAGAGCTCCGTTCAAGCGACGTGACTTATGTTTTCTTTCTTGTGCGTTGGTGCATTCGTTCCTCTCTTTCCGTATCTGTCTTGTGAACTCGGACGCTTCCTCGTTTTGCCTGGCCCCCTTCCGTACTTCGCCGTATTCTGAAGCAGCCTTCCAAAGCGCCTGTCACTGAAGCGACGTCTTCGGATGCCTCGCTCCACCGTCTCCACTTTCGCGCGTACTGCCATAGGTAGCCAAAACTGCCCTGCGATCCGTCTTTTGCATCAAAACGGCAATCACATCTGTATTGTGCAACTCTATTTTGAGTCTGTGGCCAATTAACACATAATAGATTTGTCGCGTGTTGGGTTGCCCACGCCAGACATTGATTCAATCCGTCCTCGCGCCCAGGCCGACTTTGCCGATGCAAGGGGGGTCGTCTTCGTCATGCTGTTGGCCCACTTCAACATTGGCGCCCACTCCAACGACGAACTGTCTCTGCTTCCAGCTGCCGGGGATTACCTGCCGTAGAACTTCTAATGCTCATTCGTACTCTATGTCTGAGCGGCATATGCTACACTACCGTCTGAAGGGGCCTCCGAGACGGTCCCCAAGCTTCACTAGACGCCCGCGATAGCCCCAAGACGGTCGAGGAAGCCTTCGTGGCGCCCCAAGAGAGCCCCAAGCCAAGAGCCTTCCCAACAGGGCTCCGAGAGGCCAAAATCATTGATGTACATTCGGTTGTTAAATGTGTTGGGGGGTTCTCAACTTTTCGAGCTTCCGACGGTCCAAGACGTCCCAAGAGGTCCCCCAAGACCGACCAAAGACGGCCCAAGAAGCCCCCAAGACCGCCCGAAGACGGCTCAGGAAGGCCCCAAGACGGCCCAAGAGGCGCCCAAGACTGCTCAAGAGGGCCCCGAGAGGAGCCCAAAAGGGGGAACGGGGAACACAAACCGAAAATCCTAGCCTTCCGCCCCAAGAGGCGCCCAGGAGAGGCACTAAGAGGCGCCCAAGAGCCCCCAAGAGGCCCCCAGGAGGCCCCCAGGAGGCCCCCACGATGCCCCAAGAGGCCACCAAGAGGCCCAAAAGAGATCCCAAGAGACCCCAAAACAGTCTCCTAGAGGCATCAAAACTGCCTTCGGGAGGCCCCCGAGGGGCCCCGACGAGATCCCAACGAACATCCAAGAGGGTTCAGACCCACAACCCAGGCACAGTGGCGGGGTGGGCCGAAGGACATTAGGTAGTGCAACATGCTGAATGAACGTATGCTGAACGAACATGTGTTCGGTTAACCTGTCGTGTATCGCATGACGTACAACCATACGATGTAGGCATACATGTTACCCCAGCGTAGGTAATGTAAGTACGTGTGCTCATAGCACCCCATACCTAACAAATGCTAGACTATCAAACCATAATATACCCGATGTTACGCACCGCACACGCACCTTGCATTAACACGTGCGCATGACCATATATGGTCGAGGGTTTGGGCCCTCCCCCCCAATGCTAATGCCATCGCCCCCCCCCCGCGCGATGCCCCCCCCCCTGTGGGCGTGGGCTTGGCGTGGTGGCTCCCCCCCCCCTGTGCATGTGGTGTGGGTGTGGTGTGTTGCTGTCGGTGTGTGCGGGGTGACGCCATGGTCCTCCTCCCTCCCTCCCTCCCTCCCCCCCTGTGGGTGCGGTGTGGGTGCGGCGTGTGGCTGGGATTGGCGTCATGTTGACAGCTCTGGTGCTTGACGTCGTCGCCGCCGCCGCTAGTGGTGCCGTCGACGTCGACGTCGTCGTCGTCGTCGTTGTCGTCGTCGTTGTCGTCGTCGTCGGTGTCGTCGTCGTCGTCGTCGTCGTCGTCGTCGTCGTCGTCGTCGTCGTCGTCGTCGTCGTCGTCGTCGTCGTCGTCGTCGTAGTCGTCATCGTCGTCATTGCCGTCGTCGTCGTCGTCCTCCTCCTCCTCCTCATCCTGCTCCTCCTCCTCCTCCTCCTCCTCCTCCCCCCCCCATCCCATCTGGGGGGGGGGGGCCGAGGACCCTGGGACCCATCCCATCTGGGGGGGGGCCCGAGGACCCGAAGCCCGCGATCATATACGCGAGCATGTGCTGACTCGCGCTACCGGAGGGGTAAACATCAGCCCAGAAAAGAGGGAGAGAAATCAATGCATTTTTATTATTAATGTTGACGGCCTTGGAGCCGTGAGCTCAAATGCCAGGCGTCAACTCCAAACCTCGAGCAAACTTTCCACCCACTCACCCGCAACTTGTTGGTACAACACAACTGAAGACGCGAAAGCTATTGTCGTGCAGGTCCGTGCCTAGGGTGGTGATGTTGATGGTGGCGCTGACGAAACAGGCGACGACAACAACGATGACAATGATGATATTGATGACCACGGCGGCGGTAACGATGGCGATTATGATAATGGCGATGAAGGTGACGGAGATGCTGACGGCGGTGGCAACGATGACACTGGCGATGATGATAACGATTGTGCTGCTGAGGATGTTCATGAAGTGCGCGGAGGCAGAACGTCCGAAATTCTGACAGAACTTGTATTGCACAACCACTGGGTCCCATATGGTGCTGCACACCTGCGTGCTGAAGCGATGTTTCGCATAATGGAAAACACAAACCATAACATGTAAGTGCAGGGCTTCGCCGCCTGCACTAGGCGACGCGCGCGCGTGACCCACATGGAACTGTTTCACGGAGTAGGAGGGCAGCGCGGTGCTGGTTGACTGTGCTCCACGTGTGCGCGCGCGTGGCCAGTCGACAGCATGGCCGAAGATCCGATCAATTGCTCTTGGCCGCTCAAAGGGAGCGCGCATGAGTGTGGCAGTGGGTCGGTGAAAAGATATGAAAACACGTGTTTCTCGCATGAGGGAAACATGCGGACAGGTTGCAACAAAAAAGGTGTGTGTGTGTGTGTGTGTGTTGACGTGAGCACGCGCACGAGGGGGGCGCGCGCGCATAGAGGCAACAGAATAGCGTGTGAGAAAGCTTCTGACAAAACGCACAAGTTAGATCAACGCGTGTGCACCGCATGGCACTGTGAGACAGATATGTATACACGCCAATGTACACACAAACGCACATACCAGCACCACGCGCGCGCTACGCGCGCACTTAGGTTCCAAACGACTCTGAAGACGGTGTCAATAGGCATGTGGGGCTGACTCGATGGCTACACGGTTGGACCACGTCTGGTCTTCGGGCTGCCTCGAAAGAAGCATTAATCGATTCTGTACTGTGGAATGTACAGAACCATGTACGAGTGGATTTATGCATGAACGGGCTGTTGTATGGATGTAGACGCATATTTTTGTAGGACCGAGCTGAGGCGTGATCAAACCACGCGCGCGCTTTGCGCGCAAAGGTTCTAGTAACAGCTGCGTCACGTTGCTCGACCATCGTCTTTGCTCGTCTGATCAGCGACAATTGGTGGTCAGTGCGCGCGCGCTCACGTGAGGGACAATCGCCGCGAAGTGGGATGGCTCGCCTGAGTCAAGGCTGCACGCTGGCTGAGCTGGAAGAGGCGCAGAACGTGCCACGGCAGAACGGCGCGATCAATGCCTCCCGGCGTTTGTCGCTTGACCCAGCGTCTTGCGACTCCCCCCAGGCCGTCTTCAGAGCCTCATGGCCTGTCGTTGCCAGTGCGGTCCTAGCCGCGCTATCCGAAGACTCTCGGCCTGCCCTGGCCATCCTGGATGACCGGAGAAGCGAATACCCGTGAGAAGCAACTAAGAATGCCCCGGGCGATACCAGGAGCACTGAAAATAATCAATTGATCTCCGAGGGGGGGAACCGCCGAGGGATATCGATAGCACCCCACAAATTGATTCATCTTAATAAGTCAGCGAGGGGTGGGAGTAAGAGATGTAGAAGAGAAACCTGTAGTGCGTTCCCATCGAAGAGGAATCATGCTTGGGTTCTCGTCGACACCACGCAAACGTGGCCGAGACAACCATCGAAACCATCGAGCCATGCATTCCTCTTGGGCTCAAATTGGACTCCGAGTGGGGTCTTGTTGTGATCTGATTGGGCTTTGGGATCTTGGTGGGATCCCGCGCTGAGGGCTCTGGGGGCGGGATATCACTTCCAGGGGGCGAGAGGCGAGAGAGTTTCACCGAAACGGGCGGGGGAGCCTGAATTGCCCCCACGTCCATTCAGATCCAACGAGGCCCACTAGAAAATCACGGAATCCTGCCTCTGTGAAACTGGCCTCCCCTGAGTTTTTTCTTGAGGCGGGGGACAGCAGAGGGGTGCGGCCCGCTGCTCGTGACGAGCGGACGACGCGCGCTCATACTTGTAGGGGGGGGGGGGCGCTGACCCGCGCCTCGCGGTTGGAGGCTGCCCTGCAGCTATGGGCAAGGGCTGTCGGACTCCGATCCAAGGGCCCCCGTTCGAGCCGAGAGCCAATCCGACCACACGCACCCCCCGAGGAGCATGCAGGTCGCATGGGCACGGGTGCCAGCTGTCCGCGGCCACGCGCGCAGGCTGCAGCCGCGGCCCGCCCCGGGGCTCGGCCGAGCCCCGCCGAGCCCCGTCGGGCCCCGAGGGGCGCGCGGGGCACGGTCGGCGGGGGCGGGCGACGGCGGAGGGGCGTGGCCCGCTGCTGGGGCCCGGGAGGCCCACGTCAGAGATTCCCGCAGTTGGTTGCCGGAAGAGTAGAAGCCTCCCAGATGGGCTCCGAGCACATGGGGTCGGACGATCGCCCCGCCTCGTCGATGCAGCGCCACTGCGTCGTCGATGCATCGCTCGTGCGTCGCCGATGCATCACCGACGCATCGGCGATGCATCGGCGACGTCGGCGTGGAGAACATCGGCCTCCACATCGGGCGATCCTTCGACCCCGTCTACTCCGACCCCATCTGGGAGGCCCAGAAAGATGGTCGCGTCCTTGCCTGTTCTGGCTTTCGAGGGGCAGCGACATGGGGGGGGCTGGCATAGGGGGTGGCGCAGCGACCTGGAATGGAATCGGCGGTACATCGCCGCTAGATCGGCGATGGGCCCCCGACTGTGGATCCGCACGTTCCTGGGCAGGTCGAGGGGCTCCCGCGCGTGACCGCCTTCCCCCCTCAGTGGCCCTGGAGGCCCGCAGGAGCACGAACGCTGCCTCTTGGAAGCTTGCTCGAGCCCATGTCTTGGGGTATCTTTGCGAAGCCTCCAGGGGCCTGCTGACAGCATTTTCGGGGACCCCTTGGGGGCGCCTGGGGCCGGCCCTCTTTGGTTGTTTTCTCTGCAGGAGCGATGACAAGGTGGCAGGGGCACGAGGCGGTCTAACAGTTCGGCCACCCCGAGCCAAGATCTGGTGTACAAGTGAACAGCCACGGGTCGGCATGGAAAATACGCCGACCTGCTGCGTGCAACAACGCGCAGATCTTTCGGGAAGGTCGTGGAAGCACGCCGTTCTCAACGAGAGTGCGACTCCTCGGTTACCCTCCCTCGTGCAGCTGCTCAGTGGCAGCCTGCTCAGAACTCGTCGCCGTAGCCCTCTTCCTCGCCCTCGCCCTCTGCGGTCTCGATGCCCACCTCCTCGTAGTCCTTCTCCAGCGCCGCCAGGTCCTCGCGAGCCTCGGAGAACTCGCCCTCCTCCATGCCCTCGCCCACATACCAGTGCACGAACGCGCGCTTCGAGTACATGAGGTCGAACTTGTGGTCGATGCGCGAGAAGACCTCTGCGATGGCGGTGGAGTTGCTGATCATGCAGCAGGCGCGCATGACTTTGGCCAGGTCGCCACCAGGGACCACTGTGGGAGGCTGATAGTTGATGCCGCACTTGAAGCCCGTGGGGCACCAATCCACGAATTGAATGGTGCGCTTGGTCTTTATAGTAGCTACCGCAGCGTTCACATCTTTGGGCACTACGTCTCCGCGGTACATCATACAGCATGCCATGTACTTGCCATGACGAGGGTCGCACTTCACGAACATGGATGCGGGCTCGAAGACGGACATGGTGATCTCCGCCACTGAAAGCTGTTCATGGTACGCCTTCTCCGCAGAGATCACGGGTGCATAGCTGGAGAGCATGAAGTGGATGCGTGGGTAGGGCACCAAGTTCGTCTGGAACTCGGTGATGTCCACGTTCAGAGCACCGTCGAAGCGCAACGACGCAGTCAGCGAGGAGATGATCTGCGCCAGCAGCCTGTTGAGGTTGGTGTAAGTAGGGCGCTCGATGTCAAGGTTGCGGCGGCATATATCGTACAATGCCTCGTTGTCATACATGATGGTGACATCTGTGTGCTCCAGGAGGGAGTGCACGCAGAGAACAGTGTTGTAGGGCTCCACCACTGCCGTGGCGACCTGCGGGCACGCCCACACAGTGAAAGAGCACTTCGTCTTCTTCCCGTAATCCACAGACAAGCGCTCCAGCATCAGGCAACCGAGCCCGGAGCCGGTGCCTCCGCCGACGGCATTGTAGATCATGAAGCCCTGGAGGCCAGTGCAGTTGTCGGCCAACTTCCTGATCCGATCCAGGACGAGGTCGACGATCTCCTTGCCGATGGTGTAGTGGCCTCGCGCGAAGTTGTTCGCGGCGTCCTCCTTGCCCGAGATGAGCTGCTCAGGGTGGAACAGCTGACGGTATGTACCCGTGCGTACTTCATCGACCACAGTGGGCTCTAGGTCGACCATCACACAGCGGGGGACGTGCTTGCCGGCGCCAGTCTCGGAGAAGAACGTGTTGAAGGCATCGTCGCCGCCTCCGATCGTCTTATCAGAGGGCATCTGGCCGTCGGGCTGGATACCGTGCTCAAGGCAGAAAAGCTCCCAGCATGCATTGCCAATCTGCACACCCGCCTGCCCAATGTGGATGCAGATCGCCTCACGCATTGTGTTGGATGGGCTCCTTGATCGAGTTGAAGTCTGACAGGGGGTGACAACTCACAAGGCCGTCGCGTGATGTGACAGCCTCGATCGGAATCGCTTGAGCCAAAATGGCGACGGAGGGACGTCTGGGGGCCTGTTGGGGTCCCTTCGCGCTTCTTCGGGGCCTGTTGGGGGCCTCCTGGCAGTCTCGGTGCCTGTCTTGGCGTTCTCTTGGACCCCTCTGGGGCCGTCTTGGAAGTCTCTGAGGCAATCTTGGAGGCTTTCTGGGCTGTGCCTGGGCTCTCTTTGGGCGTCGTCGGGCCCTCTTGGGGGCTTCTGGCCATTTTGAAGCGCTGGCAACTGGAAAGGCGAGGACGTCAAATCTTTCAAAAACATGGGGAGTGGCCGCGAAATCCTCGTCGACCGTGATTAAAATCCAGGAATGATAAACCTAGGTTCGTTACGTTCAGATGATACCCCCATTGGATTATGGGCCTGTGGATGGATCGGTGGCCCCCGCCTCCCTGGATCATTTTCGTTCCCGAAAAATGCATCTGGGGTCGATATTCCGACATACTGAACCAGGGTTGACCCCAGTCCAATCTCCTTCTCAGGCGCCCCCCCTTTCCGCCAGATCATTATCATTTCAGAATAATTAACCTAAGTTCACTATTCCCAGAACATTACGAACCCAAATTTATGATGTTCTAGAGATAACGGACTAAGGTCAATATTCTAACATGATGAATCCCCGTTTAGAGGCGCGGGGCTGGGGGAGAAAAATAATGATAATCATTCCGGAATCAGAAATCCGGATTCAGATTATCCGCCTATGGCGCAGGCGACGCCCCTCAGCCTCTATAATTATCATTCCCAAAAAATGAACCGGGGTTCGCTATTCCCAAAACATTACTAACCCCAACCAATATGCCCAAAACATTATGAACCCAAATAAACATCTTCTTGGGGTCGATATGCTCGGAACATTACAAACCAAGATTTAAACTGTTCCGGGGGAAACATTATGAACCCCGGTCAATATGTCCCGGAACATTACAACCCAGGTGCATAATGATCCGGGGAAGACATTATGAACCCTGGCATAATCCTGGAACATGCTAAACCCAGGTTAATATTCTTTTGGGTTCGTTCTCAAAACATGACTAGTCCGTGTTGAGCTCCGGGATCAAGGCAACTCGTCGGGGCATCGTTTCTGGATGAGCTGGTGGGGTTATGCGAAGCGACAACAGCAACAACAACAACAACAACAATAATGAGGAAGGCCAAAGCGATAGCGCAATTCCAAAGTAAACCGTAAGAAAGGCCCAAAGGAGATCATGATTCCTGAGTGTCGAGGGCGCGGCGTCTGAATATATAGTGCAAGGGAATCCCACGCGAGAGCGCGATTCCTGGAAAAACTGTGCGGAAGTCCTGCGCGAGAGCTCGATGTTGGAATAAATTGTGAGGAAGTATCAGGCGTGAGCCGTTGTTGTTGTAGCCTGGGTGCCAATAACACAGTTTGAGCAGTACGGCGTTCCCTGATAAAATATGCACCCGTGGGGGTGATGAACAATAACTATTGTTCAAGAATGAAGGTACAACAACAACCGTCATTTTGACAATGTTCGCTCTTATCTGCTCGCGTGACACTCAGCACGAATATCCCAAATCCTGGATACCCTCCCCTTTCGTCTTCGATCATACCCCCAGAAGGGGTAAATATTTCTTGATTACCTGCAACGTGTATTTCGTGCAGCCTCTGAGGCATAAGAAGACAGGACGGATGCAAGGAAGGGACAAGGGGCAGGCGGGTTGCTGAAGCGTGCGTCCTGCATGAGTCGCAAGGTCTCGAGCGATAGCACGATTCCCAAGTAAATCGAATGGCCACAGCGAGAGCGTGATTTCTGAGTGTCGAGAGCGCGGCGTCTGAATAAATTGCGCGGAAATCCCGCGCGAGAACGCGACTCTGGGGCACAACGTGTGAGGAAATCCCGCGCGAGAGCGCGATTTGGGAATGAATTGTGAGGAAGTATCTGGCGGGAGCCGTTGTTGTTGTTGTTGTTGTTGTTGATGTTGCTGTTGCTGTTGTTGCAAACCAGGGGCTGTTGTAAACTAGGGGCCAGAGGCCCAGTTTGGTGACACCCAGTTTCCCCTTAGAAAAATAGTGCGGGCCCTGGGAGGAGAAAACGATTTGTCATTTTGAAGAAGAGAATTGAACAATCATTTTAAGACTCTTCGTTCCGATCTGCTCGCGTGCCATTTATCACATTTACCCCAAACCCTCGGTACCCGCCCTCTTAGTTTCCGATCAGATCCCCCTTGGGGGTATATCTTCCTTACCTGCCACGCGCATGTAGCGCAGCCCCTAAAACAAGGGAAGAGACGACGGATGGAAGGGGGAGGGAAAAGGATGGAGAACGAAAGAAAGTAGGTAGGGAGACTAAGAACAGAAAACACGCAGACCCTAGCGGGCGGGTGGGGAAGGCGGGCCGAAGCGGCCAAGTCGAGCAGGCGGGTTGCTGAAGCGTGAGTCCTGACTCTGTTGATTATGGGCCTCTTGCATGGGACTACCAAGAATGACAAAATAAAATTAACAGTGTGCAACCGAAGAAGGGATTGAGGGCGGATTCTTCCCAAAACTCAGCTCTCGATGGAGAGCTACTTGAATTGTACCAGCATGTCTCCTTCGACTCCTTTCGAGAAGAAACATGTTTTCCTGGATTCTCTCACGAGTTGCGTCCTTGCACGCATGCATCGGCCCGTCGGTCATTCGAAGGCCAAAAACAAGCAAGGTCAGGTGCGCGCGGAAAACCCGAGAAGCACCTCACTGTTCGCCGTCCTCCTCCTCATCGAACTCGCCCTCCTCCTCCGCAGTGGCATCCTGGTACTGCTGGTACTCCGAGACAAGGTCGTTCATGTTGCTCTCCGCCTCGGTGAACTCCATCTCGTCCATGCCCTCGCCGGTGTACCAGTGCAGGAAGGCCTTGCGCCGGAACATCGCCGTGAAGTACTCTGCTACACGCTTGAACATTTCCTGAATCGCTGTTGAATTACCTGCGAAGGCAACTGCCATCTTGAGGCCCTTTGGGGGGATGTCGCACACTGAAGCCTTGATGTTGTTAGGAATCCACTCCACAAAGTATGAAGAGTTTTTGTTCTGCACATTAAGCATCTGTTCGTCGACCTCCTTGGTGGACATGCGACCGCGGAACAGGGCCGCCGCGGTCAGGTAGCGGCCATGGCGAGGGTCAGCTGCACACATCATATTTTTGGCATCGAACATTTGTTGCGTGAGCTCCGGCACGGTCAGCGCGCGGTACTGCTGGGAGCCACGGGACGTGAGGGGCGCAAAGCCAGTCATGAAAAAGTGCAGGCGCGGGAATGGTATCAGGTTCACAGCAATCTTGCGCAGGTCGCAGTTGAGCTGCCCCGGGAAGCGCAAGCAAGTAGTGACACCACTGATCGCTGCACTCACCAAGTGGTTCAAATCCCCATACGTGGGCGTGGTCAGCTTCAGAGTACGGAAACATATGTCATAAAGGGCCTCGTTGTCAAGCAAGAAGCACTCGTCGGCATTCTCCACCAACTGGTGGAAAGACAATACCGCATTATATGGTTCCACGACTGTGTCGCTAACCTTTGGGGACGGAATGATACTGAACGTCTCCATGATCCTGTCGGGATATTCCTCTCTCACCTTGGAAATGAGCAACGTCCCCATGCCAGCTCCAGTGCCGCCTCCGAGTGAATGACACATTTGAAACCCTTGAAGGCAATCGCATCCCTCTGCTTCCTTGCGGACCACATCCAACACGCTGTCGATCAATTCCGCGCCCTCCGTATAATGACCTTTTGCCCAATTATTACCTGCGCCAGTCTGACCAAATCCGCCACCGCTTGCATCGGTTGGTGTGTGTGTCGGGCCTTTGTTGTTCGATACTGCTGCGTCTTGCGAAACAAAAACTATGCCCCCCCGGCGCACCCAGCCAACACGAAATCAGTTTGCTCTTCCAAGTTCCTGTGCCCATAGCCTTCCCAGAAGCGAACTGCTCCAAAAAAGGAGGTGGGGCTAGGCACGTGGTATGGATCCCCCCGCCCCATGGCGCCAGCCTGGCCGTCCCGCACTTCTCATACTTTCTCCGATGAACTGCTACATTTCCTGGCGGCACAGGGGACTGCATCACCTTGCAGGGGTTATTGTTGCACATGTTTCAGACGGGGTCGTTCTGCAAAGTTCTCGAAATAAAGCTGGGAGGCTTATGTGAAACCTTTGGGCATCGATATATATATATATAATAAATAAAAAAAAAAAAAAAAAAAAAAAAAAAAAAAAAAAAAAAAAAAAAAAAAAAAAAAAAAAAAAAAAAAAAAAAAAAAAAAAAAAAAAAAAAACGGGGAATGTACGCGTGGGCGCGCGCACCATCGTTTTGATCTTTTAACAGATGCGAGTTACGAAGGGTGTATTATCCAGGCCATTTGTAGTCGCAGTTGGGATGGCACTAGCAGGAAATGACGAGCAGAGTACACGTACGAGGAATATGAAAATAGGTATGACACTATGAGCGGTCGTGGTCGCAGTAGTAAAAAGAGTCGTCGCCGTAGTCGTAGCCATAGTCGTAGTAGTGGTTGTAGTAGCAGTGATAGTAGTAGTAGCAGTAGTAGTAGTAGTGGTAGTAGTAGTAGTGGCAGTAGTAGTAGTAGTAGTAGTAGTAGTAGTAGTAGTAGTAGTAGTAGTAGTAGTAGTCTGGGTAGCAGTAAGAGAAATGGTAATAGTAGTAGTAGCACTAACAGAAAACATATATTAATAAAAAGGTAGCGGTCATAGTAGAAGTCGTCGTCCTCGTCGAAGTAATCGTGCTATGTGGTAGCGATGGTAGATATAGCCCTAGTAATGACCCTGGTAATATTCCTGGTGCTAATGGTGGTCGTCATCTTCGTAATAATCGTTACAGTGGTATCCACGGTAGAAGTAGTAGAAAAGAACAAGTAGAAGTGGTCGCAGTATTAGCAGTAACGGTAAGAAATAGTAAGCAATAATGGTAATGAAATGTGGAAGTCGTAGTATGAGTATTCGCAGTCGTAGTAGCAGTAGTGGTAGTAGTAGTACTGACAAGAAAAATAAAACTAGTATCAGTCGTAGCCATACGTATCGAAGTAATAAGAGTAGTAATAGTAAGAATCGGTTTCGTCGCCGTCGTAGTGGTAGCAGTAGTGGTCGTCGTTGTCGCAGTCGTAGTTGCAGTAGTAGTAGCAGTAGTAGTAGTGGCCGTCGAATTAGTAGTACGAACAATCATACTGGGAGAAACAAAAGCCATCGTACCAGTACTAGTAATAATGCCAGCAGCTGTTGTCGTAGTAGTAGCTGTTGTCGTGGTCGTAGCAGTAGTTGTAGTAGTACTAGAAGAAGTAGCAGTAGCAGTAGCAGTAGCAGTAGTAGTAGTAGCAATAGTAACGGCAATAGTAATAGTAGGAGTCGTCATCGTCGTCGAAGTAACCGTGCTACGTGGTAGTAATGGTACTCGTAGCCCTATTAATGATCGTAGTGGCACTCGGAGTACTAATGGTGGTCGCAGTAATCGTGATAATCGTAACAGTGGTACCACAGTAGAAGTAGTAGTAGAAGAAGTCGTGGTCGCAATAATTGTAATAGTAGTAGTAGTAGTAACGGTAAGTAATAGTACGTAGTAATGATAGTAGCAGTAGTAGTAGTAGTACTCGCAGAAGTGGTGGAAGTAGTAGTAGTAGTAGTAGTAGTAGTAGTAGTAGTAGTAGTAGCTGCAGTAGTAGTACTAGTAATAGTAGTAGTAGTAGTAGTAGTAGTAGTAGTAGTAGTAGTAGTAGTAGTAGTAGTAGTAGTAGTAGTAGTCGTAGTCGTAGTAGTAGTAGTAGTAGTAGTCGTAGTATGTAGTTGTAGGAGGGAGTTTCTGTGGAACTCACGTCATAGTCCAGCAAGTAACGTTCCAGTGGCCTCCGGCACCGTTTCCGGACGGATCCGCTGGATCCGGTGACGAATCCCAAACCGGCGCCCTCGCTTGAGACATCCTCACAAAACCGGCCCCGGGGGAGGTGCCCAGAGGAGCCCAGAGCGGCCTCCGGCACCGTTTCCGGACAGATCCGGTGGATCCGGTGGACGAATCCCAAACCGGCGCCCTCGCTTGAGACATCCTCACAAAACCGGCCCCGGGGGAGGTGCCCAGAGGAGCCCAGAGCGGCCTCCGGCACCGTTTCCGGACGGATCCGCTGGATCCGGTGACGAATCCCAAACCGGCGCCCTCGCTTGAGACATCCTCACAAAACCGGCCCCGGGGGAGGTGCCCAGAGGAGCCCAGAGCGGCCTCCGGCACCGTTTCCGGACAGATCCGGTGGATCCGGTGACGAATCCCAAACCGGCGCCCTCGCTTGAGACATCCTCACAAAACCGGCCCCGGGGGAGGTGCCCAGAGGAGCCCAGAGCGGCCTCCGGCACCGTTTCCGGACAGATCCGGTGGATCCGGTGACGAATCCCAAACCGGCGCCCTCGCTTGAGACATCCTCACAAAACCGGCCCCGGGGGAGGTGCCCAGAGGAGCCCAGAGCGGCCTCCGGCACCGTTTCCGGACAGATCCGATCCGCTGGATCCGCTGGATCCGGTGACGAATCCCAAACCGGCGCCCTCGCTTGAGACATCCTCACAAAACCGGCCCCGGGGGAGGTGCCCAGAGGAGCCCAGAGCGGCCTCCGGCACCGTTTCCGGACAGATCCGCTGGATCCGGTAACGAATTCCAAACCGGCGCCCTCGCTTGAGACCCAGAGGTATGAAAGGACAGTTTTTTAGGAACATAATTTATGTTCCTTTTTTATAGGAACATGACGTTGAATTAGGAAGGTGATTTTTGTTGTTTTTTGATTTCGTAAGTTTTTGTAATTTGATTACTTTAATTTTGCAGTGAGTACCATCATCGGCAAATTCCTTCCACTGTCACCGCCAACGTTGCCATCATCACCACGCCCGCCATCATCGCCATCATCATCGGCAGGCTCGGGTTCGAAACTTGAGCCAAACCGCGAGCTTGAGCCAAATTATGAAAACAAGCCGCCCTCCATGAAACCAATGTGCGCGGCGCTGAAGCGAGAGCGCAATCCCAGCGCCTTAATCCCCCGCAGAGAAAGCGGATCATATCGGGGCAGACTTGGCGTCGTTCCCCCTCCTCCACCTCCGCCTCACATCCTCCTCCGTAGCCATATTTTGGCTCGAGGCTCGAGGCCTGTTCCTCGCCGAGGCTGCGAGGGGCCCGCAGCTCGGCACTGGGCGCGACGCGCTCGCCGCCAGCCACCCGCGCGCGGCGCGCGGCGCCCGCCACCGGCCACCATGACGAGGTCGCCAAAGAACTGTCCAGAGTCGGTGGCGATTTGGACGAAGGGCGGAGGAACTCAGCGAATTGCATCACCGTGGGTGTACAGGGACGACGATGATGAGGGAATATGGAAGTGCTACGCGTGCGGTGGCAAGGAGATGTGCGAGTCGCACGCCATGTCAGAGAAACACGCTCAGAAAGTTTGGTATTATTGTTTCGGCTATGGCAAAAAGCATGGGCCTGGCAAGCTCATGAACGCGGTGGAGTCCAGCGTCCGCCACAACAACAATTTCGCGTATCCAGGTCGCGGGGTCGTCGGCACCGCGCCCATGCTCGAGCCGCAGGGGGGCGACGACCATCGAGGAGCTCAAGCGGCGGCGGCGGCTGAGGAAGTCCCGTCGGGCACTCGGTGGGCCGCGGCCGCGGCTGCCGCGGGGCAGCAGGGGGCGGGCGAGGCGGAGGTGGCGCTCGTGGAGAGTTTCAAGATGGACAGCAACTCGAACTCGTCTCAGATCGAGCTCGGGCCGTCCATAGACCAGAAGCTTGACGGGGTGATCGCGTTGACGAGTACCAGGGGGCAGATCATGGACAAGGCGACGAAGCTCATCGAGAAGATCGATGGCTCGGCGGCCGACCAGAAGGGGCCGACGGTGGAGGCCAAGATCGACGAGGTGAAGCAGAGCTTCGAGTCTACGTTGCAGACGCTCGAGGCCAAGATCGGAGAGGTGAAAAACATCGTCGAGAAGCAGTCGAAGCAGTCGGAACATACCATTAAGAGTATGAAGGAGTCCAAGAAGGACATGGAGGGCAAGATCGACGAGGTGAAGACGTGCTTCGAAAGCCAGGTGCCAACTCTGACGGCGCAGATGGCCGAGGTGAAGACGAGCTTCGAAAGCCAGGTGCCGACGCTGGAGGCCAAGATCGACGAGGTGAAGAGCGAGGTGAGGAGCAGCTTCGATACTAAGGTGCCGATGCTGGAGACGAAGATCGACGGGGCGAGGAAGAGCTTCGAGTGCAAGCTGCCGACGCTCGAGGCCAAGATCGACGAGGTGAAGCGCAGCATCGATGCGAAGGTGCCGATGCTGGAGCAGAAGATCGACGCGCTGACCGATCAGATTCGGGCCCTGTGCGAGCCTGGGGCGCCGTCGCAGGCCTACCCGCAGGGCTCGGCGACGTTGGGATTGCGCAATTTGAGGAGCAGTTCGAGTCCGAGTTTGCTGGAAGTTCGCGGCGTCGATTCATCGTTTCGTCGCTGAGCAGGCCTCGAGAGGCCAGAGAGCCTGAGAGATGTGTGTGTTTTTTTTCTCTTCGCGCGCCACCCGAAACGGGGGGCGCGCGCTCTTCTACCGCAAAAGAGCAGCTGTGGTGCCTCCAGGGGCACAGGAAACATCCCCCCCCTCCTCCGCGCGCCCCCCCCCCCCCTTTCCTCGCCCCCCGACCCCCAGAGGTTTCCCAGAGGTTCCCCAGGGGTTTCTCAGGGGTTTCCCTGAGAGGTTTCCCAGAGAATCTCCCCGCAAGCTTCCCCAGAGGCCCCGTCGCCAGATCGGTTTTTCATTTAAGGT